TGTGTGTGTGTGTGTGCAGTGTAACGTGGGTTGGGCTGGTAATGGTAACACATGTGGAACGGACACGGACATCGACGGGTATCCCGACCGCTCTCTGCCCTGCATGGACAACGACAAACACTGCAAACAGGTCAGACATCATTATCGTCATCATCATCTTCTTCATCATCATCATCACATCCTGTCCGTCCACATATAGAAAGACCACAGCTCTCCAATAACCCTCTCTATCTCCCCCTGGTGGCTGACTGCAGTATAGACCCTGGTAACACATAATAATTATTCATGTTTGACATTAACCATTTAAAATCTCATTGGAAAACAATAATAATTATAAATCAATCATTTATACAGACTGCTTTAATCTAAATACACATACAATATTCAACATACAGACATTTAGCTCACTTATTGCTTTATTTATAACTTTAAGCTCTGTTCAGCTGTGACACCACTCCAACAGAACCACATCTTAAAGGTCATTCATACATCAGCAAACGCCCCTTCCCACAGGAAGTCTCGCCCTAAATGTTGTGATCTTTGTCTCACATGACGTTACCTTCCTCTATCCTGGTTTCTGACTGGCTGTGAGTGTGACCGTCTGTCTCCGTCCACCAGGACAATTGCATGCTTACACCAAACTCTGGTCAGGAGGACGCCGACAACGACGGGATCGGAGATCAGTGCGACGAGGACGCAGACGGAGACGGCATCAAAAACGTGGAGGTCAGACAGAGTGTGTGTGTGTGTGTGTGTGTGTGAGAGAGAGAGACATGTGATCATGTGACATGACGCGTCCTCTGTCCCTCAGGATAACTGCCGTTTGGTCCCAAACAAAGACCAGCAGAACTCGGACAGCGACTCGTTCGGAGACGCCTGTGACAACTGTCCCAACGTCCCCAACAGCGACCAGAAAGACACCGACAGCAACGGACAGGGAGACGCCTGCGACCAGGACATCGACGGGGACGGTAAGAGACGAAGTGTCCTCTGAACACACGTTTACTGAACAACTTCAGTACTTCACTTTATTATATTGATTATTGGACGTGCTCGTCAAACTGTCAAAGTGGAGTCTGAAGAGCATTTTGGTTTCCTTCCTAAGCCCCGCCCCTTTAGGCTCTGTGCTCCAATAACAGTT